CCCCAAAACCCCAAAACCCCAAAACCCCAAAACCCCAAAACCCCAAAACCCCAATTCGCAAAGATTTTGACAATAACAACATAATCTACCCTTGTTCCATCCTGCATCAGAGCTAAAAGAATTTTTTCTGTGTGTCTTAATTAGTTAATTCGCAAGAACGATAAGTTAGCTAGCTTATATAATTTTCTTAGTAAAGGACTACCCTATTATGAATATTTGGCATAAATCATATCTGGAAGGCAAAAGTAGCTATTTATAAGAATGTAAGTATAATTAAATTCGAAATCGAGAAAACCGCTAATCTTGGAGACAACTTGTTTTACCAATTGTTCAAGTTTGAAGAAGAAACAGTCTTGGTTGAATGAGTAAACCATAAAGACTTTCTCATCTTCTTTAAGCAAATGTATAACATCCTTGTGACTGACTACAGAATCATTATTACTGACAGCAGTACCAATCACGAGCAAAGGACCATTGCCTTGGGCATGCTTGAAGGCATAACAAAATCAAGACAATCCGACTACGTTGTTCTGCACTGAGGAGGAGAAGAGCATGAGATAATGGAGATTCAGAGAAAAGATATTTTGATTGATATGGTCAAGAGAGTATTCTCCACCTTGACTAAATAGAAACTTACCAATATTTGTATCGGTTAGAAAGAAGCTAGATGAATAAATAACCTTAGTTTCAAAGCTTAAGGTTTTATAAATGTCCAATTCTCAAAATAAAGATAACCCTTATTTGTGATAGCCTTCCAATTTTATTATTTCAATTTTGATCTTATATGTGACTTCTAAAGAAGAAGCTGAACAAATATCAGCAAGATGCCTGACATCAGTTTCAGAGACAAGACAGAACGGCTTGTTTACAATTCATCCTCCTCGAAAGAGGAAGAAGAAGATGGAAACAAAGAAAACGAGACTGACTCCCCTGATAACTTTGTTTTCAAAAGGGATCCTCCTAAGAAGAAATAAAGAGAAAGACAGAATGGTTGATATATACAATAAATCTGACCTCATCGATATCGAACAGAAGAGGATGACCTCCTCTGGATTCTCAGAGACAATCTTTAGCCGCAAGAAGAGTGAAAAAGTCTCCAAATTAAAATCTTATAGAGAGAAAATAGAAGGTTCAGATACCACAAAGAAGAAGTCAAAGGCAAAATTGAGGACACCGTAGCGATTGAGGTGCTTAATGAGGAGAACTCAGAGCTATCTTTTGAATCCTGGGATGTCGATGATTGTTATGCCCACAAAGAACCCAAGCTTGAAGATTTAAAAATTATAAAAGTTCTTGACAAGGGGTCCTTTGGTAAAGTGTTTTTGGGGAAAACAAGCTTAATGGAAGATTTTATGAAATGAAAAGTATCAGAAAAGATGTACTTGTCGAAAAGAAACAAATTGAAAATACTCAGAATGAGAAAAAGGTCTTACTAGATCTTGAACACCCATTCCTCCTCAAAATGAGCTATGTAATTCAAAATGATCTTAGAATTTACTAATTCTTAGATTTCATTGAAGGAGGAAATCTTTATCAAAATATGTATAAAGTCAAGAGGTTTAAAGAGCATCAAGTAAAGTTCTTTGCAGCCCAATTAGTTCTAGCTTTCGCATTCTTACATGATCATGGAATTGTTCATAGATATTTAAAACCCGAGAATGTCTTACTTGGAGCTTATGGATATCTAAAACTGGCAGACTTTGGGATTGCTAAGCCTTTGCCTAAAGAAAATCTATTTACTTATAGTTTCTGAGGAACAACAGAATATTCAGCTCAAGAAATAGTCAGAGATGAAGGGCATAGCTTTACAGTCGACTTGTGGACTCTTGGGATCTTAGTTTATGAACTGATAACTGGAAGGACACCTTTTCTACATAAAAATACTCACCAGACCACAAAATTAATTAAAAAGGGTAGGATAATATTCCCAGACCCTGTGAAACACAAGATAGACATGTCTGATAACTTTAAAGACTTCATAGTCAAGCTATTACATAAGAAACCAAGCAAGAGACTTGGGCTTAAATCATCAAAGGCTGTAATCAATCACCCTTGGTTCAGTGACATAGACTGGGATAAGTTAAAGAATAAGAGGATTAAGTCTCCATATATGCCAGGAATTAAGGATAAAAACCTTAAGTCTCATATCCTTTCAGGCATTTCATCTGGCCTAGGATTTAACAAGAGAAGAAGAGATGATCAAGGAGATGTTAGTGAGACCAGTTTAGCACCAAGCAAGCTTGACTTAGTCAGGAAAAATAAACACAAATTCGAGGATTTTTAAATTAAATATTAAATTAGAATCCTATGAAAATTTACAAAAAAATTTAAGTAAAGGGGTTTTGGGGTTTTGGGGTTTTGGGG